GTGGGAACTTACGCAGTTTTACGAACCCACGCAGTGGCCTTGTGTAGTTCCCAGTACAGATTTTGAGGATGTGCGTCTGTGCACATGGGGAGGACAGGTTCCTCACGATGGCCAGTGTTTAATACGGACCGTACTATACAGTCAACGGGGTCGTGATATGGTATTCGATGGCCACCACGTTCGTGATAATGTATGTCATGCCAATGACTGTTTCTCTGCAGCTCCCGAATTGCCTCTCCTGCACACATTTGTATTGACGACCACGGCCTGTCGGCGTCGGGCGCGGAATCATCAGTATGTATCGACCCCGAGGAAGGTGCAACCAAAGTAATGGTTTGTATTGTCAAAAAATTGCACGCTTCCGTGGCTAAAGGCGCGGCCTCCATTTTTTTTTGTTTGTTTTTCCCTCCGGCGGGAGAGCCGAGAGTTTCCAATTGCGTTTTGCTGGGGGTTCGTCGGTTGTTCGTGCGACTGGTCTTGGTGTTGACGACGCCGCAGGCCGACCGGTGAGAGGAGGTGGAGGGGGAACGATGAACGTGGCCTTACAAAAGGTTAGCGTATTCGAGTCATGTTTGCTCGTGCGAAACGCCTTGTCAAAGCGAAGGCTGCTCTCGGCAAGTGGCATGTGCAATGTGTGGCTGGGCTCCTGGAAGGTGCGACGTTTGGGCCTGAGGTGCACGGTACATCAGGCCACGCGATTATGAGGCTGAGGCGTGTCTTCGGAAAGACAGTTGAGCCATCGGCACGCCCGCGAAACCTCATTGCCATCCGCATCTTTGGGCGCGACCTTTGCTACTACGCAGCCATCGTTCGTGTTTTGCGCTGTTCCAAGGAAGTGTGGATTTCTTCTTCTATTCGGCAGTACAAAGAATTCCGTGGGACTCCCGACCCTCTGGACGGCGCTGGAAGGGGCTGTTTCGGGCGGCAGGTTCCGGGGCTCCCCGGCGCCGTCCAGGCCTCCCTGCGCTGGATCTGGCGGACCTGATAGAGCATGGGATACTTTACCAATCTAGTTGCCGAAGAAAACGTTGACATGCGCATGGCTCAGCAGATCCTTCAATGGGTTTCTGAGGCATCTTAAAAGGCCCCCAGGAGAAACCTTGGGATTGGGAGCCAGAGCGCACCGCGATGTGGCGCTGAAGGAGCGGCGGTCTATTGAGCGAGACCCCCATCAGAAAGTTTGCTTTCGGCCTTTCTCGCGCAGGGCGTGTTTTGCGGCCGCCGGGGGTGCTGGGCGCGAATCGCTTGCCGGCTTTCCGTTGCGCGGGTCGGTTGCAGGAGCGATGTTTCGCTGAGTCTGGCAATGCCTTGCCACCGGCGCCGAGAGACTAGAGGTGGTCGATCGGTCGCTTATAGATCAGGCTCTGGCGATCGGCCATGAAGACCCATATTATTTGCTTCTCACTCAGGCCATCCCAGCTCGCCCAGGTGATTGCGCCCCCGTGCCCGTCGCGGAGGACAGCGCGATAGTGACGCGGGATGGGGGCCCGCTCGACGCGCCCGCGGGCATCGAGGGCCCCGCGGGGTTCTTCGACGGGCCACGTCTTCAGGGGCCCGGGGGCGACCGCGCGCAGCGAGGGCGGGGCTCTTCCGTGCACCTCCGCGGGGCCCGTTCCTAGCCCCCCCCCCGGACTTCCCAGCTTGGTGGGCGCTGTGGTTTCGGGGCCATTGGTGAGCTCCTCTTCGGGCCCTCAGCCTGGCGCTCCGACTGCGCCAATGTTGCGATGGTCTCGAAGTTCCCGCCCCCTCGGCAGCCGTCGCGCCAGGAGACCCATGCTTGCGCCGTTCTAAGGGTGCCCCAGTCACTGCATCGCAGAGTAAGCAATGTCAAGCGCGCGCCGCTGACCCGCCAGGCCTCGCATTGGATCGGCGCCATTTCAGGGCTCGCAGCGACGTTGCCGACGCCGCCGCGGACCCGGTCACAGACCTCGCTTTTTGCGTCTGTGTTTGCGGAGGAGCTTCCGATGCTAAGAAGGGTCGTGCCCTGCCTGCGGTGGCCCGCCCCCGCGGCGTCGCTCGGGCTTGGATTGCGTCGCTCGCGCTCCTGGAGTTGGCGCGGCGCCCAGGGTTGGGAAAACCTTGGAGTAGGCAAATCGCCCGGGGAACACACCCCGCGCGCATGATTGCGCTTGGCGTCGCCCCTTCTGGGTGCGCCATTGTTGCCGGCAGATTCGTCGTTCTGAAATTGCGCCCTAGAGGTTGCCCGCCCCCCCCCCCCTGGCGCTGCTCTTGAGATAGGGGGCGCGGGGCATCCTCTCTGGCTTTTTCCCGCCGCGATGGCCTCGCAATCCGCGCCCGCCAGGGGCGCGGGGCGCGCGCGAGGGGGCCGATTCAGGAACGTGGTAGAATTGCACGTTCGAGAATCCTTCCGCCCACGTTCTCGGCGCGAGCCGGGCGTCAGCTCCTGCGAGGGAAGCGGAAGCGCCCCAGGGTCGCAGGCGTCGCGGCGGAGTCTTTTTCTGCCAGACGCTGGGTCCGACGCGGCGGGGGGGGGGGGCGGGCGTCGGCGCGGGGGCGCGCGCGATTCTCGATGGGGTTCCTGCCGCGCGGGCCGGGGCGACTCTGGCCGCGTCGGCGGCGGGCCCCTCGCGCGCCCTGGGGGCGTTGCGGAGGCGCTCCGCCGCGGGGGCAACGAAGGGCCCCTGGTCGCGCCCGTGGCAGGCCTCGACGGGTGCTCCTCTGACTGGCCCCATCGGCTCTGTCTGCGCGGCGGAGTCTCTTGCTCTCGCCGCCCCCCCGCCGCGCCCTGAAGGCGCGCGACCGACCGGCGCGGGGGCGGCATTGCCGAGAAGGCAAGGGCGGCGCGGCGAAAGGGGGAGCGGCGACGCCGTGGCCATGCGACTGGCAGAGTGGCACGGCAAGAGCAAGAGGGGCCGGCAGCGGCGGCGCGGGCGCCGCCGAGGCCGCGCCCGCAGAGGCAGCGACGCCAGCAAGCCCGCCGTGGCGCGAGCAACGCGGCCATGGGGGGCCGGGCCAGAGAGGGGGGCGGCAGGGCCCGCCGGGGCCCTTCGGGAGGCGCGGGCGCGCGCGCCCAGACAGACAGGGCGCCGATCGAGGGGGGAAGCAGCGTCAGTGAACTGGCGAACTCGACGCTCGAGGGCGGCGCGAGCGCGCCGGGGCGCGCGCTGGGGCGAGCTGGCCGAGGCGGAGGCAAACGGCCCGGGATCGAGGCGCGCGCGGGGCCCCTCGCCCCGCCGAGCGGCGCGGCCGGCCCGTTCACCGCGCCCTCGACGCGCGAGGGTCCGCGAGGCGGGGTGGGTGGAGCTTCGTGGACCACGCGCTCGACGCGATTTGCGCGGAATTTTCGGGCGTGGCTTCTAGCGCCGCTGTCGCGATCCAGCGCGCGCGTGGTCTTGCCAGAGATCGCGTTGCAATCTCCATCGGGGACGGACAATGCAGTCATAGTATGCGATTTGCGTGGTCGGCGGAGCATCTTCGCCGCAGGTTTACGCCCCCCTCATCGGAGTTGCGCGACCAGAGTGCTCATCGCGATTCGCCGAGCGGGGCGCGGATGTCGGCGCCGCGAAAGTCGGCGACGCACCCCATCCTGAACACCGCCTTCGCGTGGGTCTGGAGGCAAAGGGCTCTGATACATGCGCGCTGTGAATCAGGGCGCGGGCTTCGCTCTGGCACTGGCTGGAGCTAATCGCCTCCGCAGGCGACTGGCGGATGCCGAAAACATGTTTGTCGTGGTCGTCTCCGAAGCCGGCCGCCGCTGCCGCCAGAAGTGCAGCCGCAGTGGCGGGTGGCATCCTTCGCGATAATCAGCGGTCTGAGGACGTCGATGAGGCGCCTGGCGTTATCTTGCCTTCAGAGGCCGATCCGCCCGGCGACGGCGGCGAGGAGCTCGCGCGCGTGCTGGAGGACACCAGAGCCAGGAGTGCGGAGTTGACGCAACAGCTGGCCCAGGCTTCCGCGCGGGAGCATTTCAGCTGGAGCGCGAACTGGCGGAAGGCCTTGAGCCCGCGAGCAGGATCTGCTCCACGCATCATGGACGGTGTCCTACCTCCTCGTCACTTCGTCTGTCGTCGCAAATAGCTTAGTCGACTTGGAGGGCGGGGAGTGCATGTCCTGGTGCGCGGCTTGACGAGGAAGGAGATCCTGCGGGAAATCATCGCGAAGGCCCCCTTGGACGCCGAGGTCGCCCTCATCGTCGAGTACGTCGTGACCGTGCTCGTTTTCTTTTTCAGACGCATGGGGGCTTCGAGTTGTCCCCGATGCAGCTCTCAGGTCTTTGAAACGCGCGCATTCGCACCCCAGATTTCAAAACCCTTCCTTCTGGCCCCCCCCCCCATCAACTCCCTCCCCCTCCCCCCTTTTCTCTTCTCCGCCCCCCCTATTTCCTCCTTCTCCGACCCCCCCCCCCCTTCCCGCTTCTCATCCCGATCTCTTCCCCGCCCCGTCCTCCTCCTCGCCATCTTTCCTCCTTTTTCTCCGCCTTTCTCTTCTGTCTCCCTCATCCCAGACCTCGGGTGTCTTGATGCGTCCGGGGTCCAGAACACCCTGGGCCATTTCCATGGGATCGTTTTCCTCTTCGTCTTGGACTGTGGTTGGACGGTCCCGCAGCGTGGCGAGGGCCCCCTCTGGACGCCAGAAACGAGAAGAAGTGTCCGACGTGACGTTATCGGTACGTCGGAGGTCTAGGAATCTCCCCCGTTCGGTACTTTATGAAGAAGATCCTGGAAACTTCGCGCGGCGCGCATGAGTTGCAACATGTAGTCCGCATGCTTGCTTTTTCAATTATGGGACGGCGTTCGTGCGGCGATGTGCCGACGTGCGTCTGGCGTACATCTGACGCGCGTCCGGCACACATCCGACGCACTCCGACGTGAACCCGCTGTAGTCCCGACGTGGATCCGACGTACAATGAATTTGGCCTCGAATTGCCGCGCGAGGCCCCAAGAATTTTTCGCACAACGCAGTCCTCGCCATCCCTATTCCTCGCCCCCCCCCCCTTCTGAGCATGACCGCCATCCCGCGGTCCTCCATCCCCCCGCATAATGTCCCTCGTTCTCTACCCCTCTGAGCATGGCCGCGCTCCCGGCCCGCCAGCGGCTTTCCAGCGCCGCCGCCCGCCCGCGGGGTCGGGCTTGCGGCCGCCTCGCAAAACTGCTCGGGCCTCGTGGCAAAGGTGGATGAGTGGGTGGAAGGAGTAAAGAAGGAAGAGTAGGAAAAGGGGACGAGGAGGAAGAGGAGGAGGTTGTGGGAAAAAAGGAAAAGGAGGAGGACGAGGAGGAGGAGGAGGAGGAGGAGGAGGAGGAGGAGGGGAAAAAAACGACCGGTATAAACCCAAGACTCTCAACGATGGTGGTGTACACCCGCACTCCAAGTTCCCCATTTAGAGGCCCAATACAAGGGCTCATTTCCACTGAGGGAATGGTTTTTGGGGGGGACAGCCGCGTGAAAATCCATAGGCGTGCCAAAACACCGTTCCCAGGTCTTCGACGCCACGAGTTAGCCCGATTGGTGTGTCTTGGCGAGACTGAGTCGTGCCAGAATAGCACTCCAGGGACATCAACACCACAAAGCAACCTAATTGCTGCGCCCTGACCATCCTGAATCGTTCCCAAACGCCAGTTTTGGTACGTTAACCATGAGAGCCAGTGAAACTCGCGCACATGTTTAATGCGACCGCGCACGGCGCTCAGGCGAGAACTACATCTTGACAAGGAGCCGCCCTCAATCCGCGAAGCTTGTTGCAAATCTTGCAAACCAATGTGCTCAGCGCTGCGGCGAGAGCCACAGTTTGAAAACCACCTGCCCCCAATCCGCGAGATCTTTGCAGTTGTTTGCACCCTATGCACGCGGCGCAATGGCGAGAGCCGCATTTTGAAAACCCTCCGCCCTCAATCCGTGAGTCTCTTGATGTGCGCGGCACTCGGGCGAGAGCAACATTTTGCAAGCGATCCGCCCTCCATTTGCAAAGCGGTTGCCAGTTTGTTTTGAGTTTCGGGCCTGTGAGTGGCAAGGAGGTCTGAGGCCAAACGCCCAGCGCGCCCGTCCGACTGACTTCGGGGTGCGACAGGGATGAGTTGTCCAGCAGGAAGAGGAGCGCTAAGCAGCAGGAGGAGGAGATGGAAAAGGAGGAGGAGGAGGAGGAGGAGGAGGAAGACGAGGAGGAGAGGGAGGAGGAGGAGGAGGAGGACCAGTGCAAACCCAAGACTCATCAGTGACCTTGGAATACACCCTCCCTTCAAGCTCCCTGTTCATATGCCCCTACCAAGGTTCATTTCCACAGGGAAATGCCCTGTTGGGAGACGACCGTTTGAAAGTCCTGAAGTTTGCCAACACACCCTTTTCAGGATTCCAGCGACACGAGTTAGCCTGATGGTTGCGTCTTGGCGATCCTGAATCGTGCCAGAACACCATTCCTGGGAGTCCCATCCGCGAGCCAACGTAACGGCTGAGCCCTGACAATCCTGAATCGTTGCAAAACGCCGCTTTTGGTACGTTGACCATGAGAGCCAGCGAAATGATTGCAAATTTTTCGAACGAATGTGCGCGGCGCTCAGGCGAGAGTCAGAGCTTGAAAAGGAACCTGCCCTCTATCCGTGAAGCTATTGCATTGTTTAACCAGCGTGTGAGACATTAGGAACAGTTTGACAACTATTCGCCCTCCGTCCGTGAAACTGTTGTCGGCTTCTTAGTTTCAGTTCCACAAGTGGTAGGGCAGGTTCAGGGGAAACGCCCGGACCGCCCTTCCGATTGGCCTCGGGGAGCGACAGGGAGGAGTTATTCATTAGGAGAAGAAAGGGATGACGAGGAGGAATAGGACGAGGAGGAGCAGAAGCAGAGATAGAGAGCAAGAGGAGGGAGAGGAGGACGAGGAGGAGGGGGAGGAGGAAGGAGGAATTCGAGAGGGGAGGGAGGAGTAGAAGGAGGAGGGTGATGAGGGGGAAGATGAGGAGGTGGAGCAGACGGAGGGGTAAAGGAGGAGAAACAAACGGACGAGGAGGGGGAGGAGGGAGGAGCAATGCAGCATGGCGCGCGACGGAAGCCGATGGGCGCCAAGGGAGAAGGCCACTGACCCGTGCACGCGAAACGTGGGCGCGGGCCCTGCGGGCGAGGGCAGCCGGGGAGCAGCAAGGGAGGCCGCTGGGGCGGGCGCTGAGCTGCTGGGGCTGGGTGCTGATGAGCTGCGGCTGGGCGCTCGTGCCTCGTGGCAGGCGTGGGTGGTTGGCGCGCGCGCTGTTCGTGCGGCTTCCGGTCCCTGCTCGATCGCCCCGGCCGTTCGTGCCGCTTTTGGCGCGTCGGTTGGGCAGGTTACAGGACGAGACAGAGGCCAGGAGCCAGTCGAGTGTCAGCTAGCCTCTCAGCCTCGACGTCGGAGGCATTGTCGCCCCCCCGCTTCGGAGGCCGATTCGAACGCCTCTGGTTTGTTGGCGCGGCAGCGGTCGGACGGGCGGCTGGGGCCCCAAGGCTGGTGCCTGCAGGAGTTGTGGTGCCGCCTGCGCGTGGTGCTATGGAGTGCGGGGCTATGCTACCTTGGGTGGTGCTGTGCTGCGCGAAGCGCTGACATCATTGCTGCGCGCTGGTGGTCATGGCCGCCGAGGGAAGGCCGACATTTATGTTGGGCGCTGGTGGTCATGGCCGTCGAGGAAAGGCCGACATTGATCTCCAAGCGCCCGGCTTCAGCCGCGCCTTGTAGCGTGACGATGTTCGGGTGGTAGGGCTGGTCGGTCTCAGGCGTTTCGTAGGGGATTTGTGCAGCACGCGTGCGTGGTGTCTGTGCGTCTTGGCTATTTCCTGAAACGTTGGCGGTATGGGGGCGCAGTGGCTGCTGCCCGTCTCGCCTATAGAGCACTTGTGGACGGTGAGTCTCGGGTTGACCCTGTGCGGTCCCAGTGGTGACGTCACCGATAAGCCAGTGGCCGTCCGACCGTCGGGTCTCCAGGATTGCGCGGTGAGGGTGGCATTGCTGTTCCAAATCCCGTGCAGCGTCGTTTGCCAGAGTGCGGCAAGGAGTGCCAGAGTGCTATTGGTCTCGGAATGGCCGCAGTGAGTCTTGGTTACTTGGCATGACTGCGTGTTGTGGTGCCGTCGCAGCGGTCGGCCTGACTTCCGGTCCTGTGGTCAGGCGTGTGGCGCAGTCTGAGCTGCTTCGGCTACGGAAGCTTCAGGTATCGGGCAGGGGCTGTGGAGCATCGGACGCAGTAGCGCGCCTGGAGGTGGGCCTGGAGGCGAGTTGAGTGGTGTCGGAGAGAGGCGTATGGGACCTTTCCCATTGGAACGCGGTGCACTCCTGAGCGCGTTGCACCTTATCCTTTGCGGGCGAGTCGCTTCCGTCCCGCTGGGAGACGGGTGTCGCTGGGCCAGTGGACGTTGGTGGTTCGGACGTTCTCATGGTACTGCCACGCGTGGTCGTGATGCGTCGACTGGCAGGTGGGGAGGAGGGGCAGGAGAGCGAAGGGAGGAAAATGAAGGAAGGATGGGGGACACGGAGGAGGAGGAGGAGGAGGAGGAGGAGGAGGAGGAGGAGGAGGAGTTGGAGGAGGAGGAGGAGGAGGAGGAGGAGGAGGAGGAGGAGGAGGAGGAGGAGGAGGAGGGAGAGGGGAGGAAGGAGAGCAGGAGCAGCAGCATCAGCAGCAATGCGAGGAGTGGGCCGCCAGCAGCAGTTGTGCGATGGTGGGTGACCAGGCGCGGCGGCACGACTTCGCGCAGAGCGGGCGCAGCCTGCACGACTGCGCGCCCAAGCCAATTAAAAAGGCGTTGCATCTCCACCCTCTCCCGCCCAAGCACGAGATGTCCGCGAGGCTTTGATGATCTGTTGTGACACCAGCGGGTGAGAACTGTCTTTTGCCGCTGGCTTTGCGATTCGACCATCCATGCCCTCGCGCTCAGCCCTCCACTCGCCCCCACCAGCCACCTACACGCCGGTCGTCGAAAGTAGGTATTTTTGGATTCCCAGATCCCAATCTACTTCAAGCGCCTTCCTACTTCAGGAATCGATATGATTTTGCTATGTTTTGTTATTCTCTGGGAGTGGACCCAATCCACTATATCCGCCTTCCTACTTTCATGTTTCTACCTACTTCTTCCGACCGACGTGTACCCCTTGCCTCCGCCTCTCCCTGTCTACCCCCCTCTGCCTCCAGCGGCCCCCTTGTCCCTCTCCATTCTCCTCCCTTGCCCCCCTCCCCCCCTTGCCCTTCTCCCCTCCCTCCCTCACACAGCAGCACACACGCACGCACGCACACACAGACACACGCACGCACGCACGCACGCACGCACGCACGCACGCACGCACGCACGCACGCACGCACGCACACTCACACACACACAAACATACACACACACACACCGCGCACGCACGCACGCACGCACTCACGCACGCACGCACGCACGCATGCACGCACGCACCCACGCACACACACACACACATACACACACACACACGCGCGCACGCACGCACGCACGCACGCACGCACGCACGCACGCACACAGACACAGACACACACACACACACACACACACACACACACACACACACAATCTCACACACACACACACACTCTCACACACGCGCGCGCAATGTTTGTCGTCGCGGCCACGCGCGCGGCGGTGCTGCGTAGGTCCTGTCAGGCGGGAGAGCGCGGGCCGGGCTGGCTCACGCAGCGCGAACAAGCCGACACACACATGCACAGAGCACGCAGCTACTCCGTTTCCCCGGCCGCGTCGATTCGGACGTGAAGGACGACGACGCGTGAGGTGCCCAGGCGTGTGGGAGGCCCCGATCGATTCAGCGTGGCCCCTCTCCCTCCCCCCTCGTCCTCCCTCCCTCCCTCCTCCTCCTCCTCGCCAGATCTTGCAGGATCCTGCCGGGCCGGGGGCGCATCGACCCAGGTGTGGGTGCAGGATCCCGCAGGGCCAGGGTCGCACTGACCCGCGCTTGGGTGCAGGATCCTGAAGGATCCTGCAAGGCCCGACTGACCCGGGTCTGGCTTGACCCGGGTCAGAAGATCCCCGATGTTCCTCCTTGTATCCTCGCCGCGCCTCTTCCAGCTCCTGCTTCTGCTGCTGCTCGCTCTTTTTATCCTCGCCGTCCTCATGACAGTTCCGTGTCACGGTCTGCATCTTCTTTGCGTCTCGTTATGCTTGCGTCTTCCGCATTCTTCTGTTGTCCAGCATTCATCCTCCGTTCGTGTTTATGTTACGCTTTGTAAACACCGACGCCATCATCATCATCATCATCATCATCATCATCATCATCATCATCATCATCATCATCATCATCAGCATCATCATCATCACCATCATCACGACTTCCCCTCGGGGGCCACTTGTTTACGTACATTTGTCCTAAACAAGCAGTGAACATGCGCAAATCGGGAACCGATACCGATACCGCAAAGCGGGAACCGATACCGATATTATCTTCCTCCTCCCCCTCCTCCTTCTCCTCCTCCTCCTCCTCCTCCTCATCATCATCATCATCATCATCATCATCATCATCACTATCACCATCACCATCACTCATCATCATCACCATCATCAGCAGCCATTTTGGCTCAAGACGGCACCCAGGGAGCACTGGAGATCGCACGCCCTGACCAGGCTGAGCTGCCTGGCTTGAGGCTTCCTGTTTCTCGATCTCGCTCGAGTTGAGTCTTTGTTGAGTTCCAGTCATCTCTCGCGCATGTCGCAGCGCCAGGGATGGCGACTGCTGCGCCCCAGGCCTCCACGCTTGCCTCGGGAGGCGCAGCAGCAGAAGCTGGCCTCGCCTGGGAGCGCGAGCGGCGCCGTCGTGTGGCTGGCCAGGACCAGTTGGAGCTCGATTGCGAGGGCATCGGGGACGCCGACACCGACGACGGCATGGGGGTTCTGAGGCGGGAGTCGGCAGGCATCCCTGGCGAGGGGGGAGGCCTTCCCATGCCGCCGCCGCACCCGCCGACGGACCCTGCGCAGTTGAACCTGGCCCAGTGCATCATCGCCTCGATCAGCGTAACCATGGGGACCAGGATCGAGCGCATCGAGATTGGAGTGGCGGAGCTCAAGCACACGACGGAGTCCAGCGCGAAGGACATCGCCGCGGTTCAGGCACGCTTGCGGGCGCAGGAGGCCATGCTGGAGGCGTTCGAGGCAGGTCGATCCCCGGCGGTGAGCACGACAGTTACCTCTCGCCCTGGCTTGCGATTTGTTTCCGCCGCGAGCGGCCAGACTGAACCGTGGGGCGCTTGCTTGCAGCAGCAGCGCGACGGCGGAGCCGCACCACCTGCTGGGCCAGGCTTTCGACGGATACGGGGTGCTGGAAAACTACCAAGTAGTGGTGTTCGTGGCGGGTTTTCCAGGGACGTGGGACAAGGAGGGGGTGCAGAGGCACTTGCGCACCGAGCTCTCGAAGCTGGTGGCCCTGGGGCACCAGGGCATCACGGAAATCTATGAGGTGGGCAGGTTCTGTGATCAGGCGAATATTGTCTTCGCGGGCAACCAGAAGATGTGGGGGCTCATGAAGCGCTCGCAATGACAAGCTGTGGCGCATGGTGGAGCAGGGGTTTCGTGAGGTGGAATTGTCGCGCAGGGTCAGCTTCGCTGCCCGCGCCCTGCGCGAGCACGGCCTCGGGAACTGGCCGTGCACGGAGGAGGCCAATCTACGGACTTGCGGCGCCGATTGGGATAGGGGCCAGGTAGTCTTCAGAAAGAGCAGCACGGAGAGGACGATCCGCATCCTGACCCTTTCGAGGACCTCGGACGTGCTGGAGGCCGGTCAAGACCCTCTGGCAGCGATGCTCTTGGACCAGGAGTTGGAGGACATAAGGCCCAGGGACAGGCTGGGCGAGATCAGCGACCGACCCACTTCGGATGCAGTGATTTCGATTCCGCGGGTGCCGCTTTGCTAGGGACGTCAGGGACCTCGAAGTTCCGGGTACGAATGCGAGGGGCGTCCTTGCCCGACAGCGGCAGCGCGTGCTCGAAGAGCTTGCGCGCGAATTTGATCCACGGATTGCCTTCATTCAAGAATGGTGCGTCGCTGGTGGGGCTGAGCAGTCATGCGCGGTGGCTGTGTCGCGCACGTGTCGCCCCCCATCGGGGGCCTGGCAAATATGCGCGATAGCGGTTGCAGAATATCTTCGGCCCCCCGTCCTTTGTGATCCTCATTCCCGCGGTCGCGCCGTGGCCCTGGACTTGCAACTGCCTATCTGCGTCCAGGTTCGGCTGATAACGAGCCACCAGTTTTCGCTCGTTGTGAGATGTGAACATGCAGAGACGATCGATCAGTTGCGGGAGTGTTTGGTGTCTACGTCACTCGATTGCCGCGCCATTGTCAGCATCGAAGCCCAGGGTGGCTTTGGAGGTTCGGATGGAGACGCAGTCGGCCCTGATCCTTCGTCCACAATTGTTTGGAGAGGCGAGATGTTGCATGATCTGATGACTGAGTTGGCCTTTGTTGTGACGAACAGCTTCTCGAAGGGGCGATGGGGCCAGGCGGCGTGCTTTTCCGATGGTCGCAAGGTGCCCCGCCATATTGACTTCGCGTTGTTTCGCCGCGGCTGGCTTCGCAAGACGGAGTGCCAGGCGCGCTTCAGCGACGCCGCCGAGAGCGACCACCTGCCCTTGCTGCTCCGATGCCACGCAGGGTCCACGATCGCCACCGCCGAGGGCCACGCGAACTGTGGGCCAACAGACGAGATGGAGAGGCCGCCGCGCAAGCCCGTCGCGCGGCAGGTGGACCGCCGCGAAGACTTATTCTCGAGGGTCTGCGCGGCCTTGGAGATCAGCTACACGCATCCAGAGCCTTCGAAGTCTATCGAGGGTGGCTTGACGAACGCCACGGGCATCTTCGCGGACGGCTCTGCGAGGCGGGGGCGGCGGCAGGCGCCGCGGCACCGCCGCGCTTCTACTGGCCGGGGTTTCGCGCCCCGCCGCGTCGCGGAGCCCGGCGACCAGGGCGCGCCGATGATGGAGGCCTGCGGCCAGGCGGCGACGACGCCGAACGACCCGCGCTTCGCGGGCGCGACGCGCCTCTCGTCGAACGCGGGCGAGCTGTCCGCCATCGTGGGGGCCTTGCTCTGGCTCTTGGGGCAGCGCTTGCAGCCCTCGCCTCTGGTGGGCGACCGCGCCCGCATCATGGCCCTACGTCCGCGACCTGCTGCGGGGCGTTTTTCGGCCCGGGGAGAATTCCGAGCCCGGCGACGCACCTCCAGGGCAAATGCGCGGCGCATTTCGAGCAGACCATTCGTTGGATCAAGAACCACAGCGGCAGGGGCCGAGATGGGGAACGACGCCGGGCACGTTGTCAGCCGCTGGCGCCACCCGTGCCCCGCCGCCGACTGGGGCGCCCAGGAGTTCGAAGGCCGCCCGCGAGCTCCACTACGCATCCAGCCGAGCTGCGCGGAAGCGCCGCCCGGAGAGCAGCCGCAGCGAGCACGCGGGGGGGCACCTTGCGGACCCCCCCAAGCCGCCGTCTGCTGCCGCCTGCCGCGACCGCGCCGGCATCGCCCCGAGCGCCTTGGCGTCGGCGATTTCCACGGCAGCCGCCGCGGCGGGCCGCGCCCCGAAGCGGGGCGGGTGGAGGCGGGGGGGCCAGCAGTTACTGCAGCCCCCGGCGCTGGAGCGCGCTCGAGCTCAGGAGGGCGACCTTCGCGCGCGCCACCTCCTGGGGCCCGCGGCGCGCTGGGCCAAGAGGGCGCCGCGGGATTGCGGCGCGGACGTCCCCGCGGAGGAGCCGCGCGCCCGCGGGAAGACGGAAAGGCCTTTCAAGTCAGGGCGCACGTCTTCATCTTGGAGTTCGCGAAGGGTGAGCTGGCGCGGACTGGGGCCGCCCGACGCGAGTGGGCCTGCTCCTTCTGCGCGCAGCTGCTCCAGGATCCAACGGCGACCTGGCGCTGCCCGCCTGGGCTCACAGGCAGTGGGCGCCCGAGGAGCAGGAGCAGGGGGTGCCCCTATGCTCGCCGTTGTTGAAGATGTGCGTCGGTCGTCGGGAATGCGCCAAGTCGCGAGATGTGACCGATGCGATCGTCGGAGAGATAATCAAAATTTTAAATTGATGTTCCAGTTCAACTTCTGGGCGCTTGTCGTTTGAGAGCCCAAGGCCACGTTTCGGAGTTCCTCGACGAGGTCTGGGGTCAGCACGCGGCCCACTTGATCCGTGAGGTGCTGCATTTAAAGAAGATTTCGCAGTTTCGCCCGATCGCCCCGGCGTCAGCGCTGCAGAATCTCTGCAGCACGATGGCTCTCCAGACCCAAAGGGGAGCGATTGAGGCCAATCGCTGCGAGCAACAGCTCGCCGTTCGTAGAAGCCACCAGGCCCGCGAAATCATCTATAGCTTGCGCCACTTAGTAGAGATGCTCTGTGAATGTAGAACCCCCCCCTAGTCGTCGCGGGGGGGCGTCCGGAAGTTTCACGACGGCATTTCGCGCGCCGCCTTCTCCCGCCGCTTGGATAGCCCTGTCCGCCTGGATAGCCATGGCGTCTCGCGAATCGCGGCGGGTTTGTGGATTTGGGAGTTGCGCGGGTCGCCCGCGCGCGCCCGCCCGCCCGCCCGGGAATGCTTTCGCGGACCCGACTCGGCGCGAGAAATCCTGCATCCAAGGCAACCTTGCGGGATCCTCGCTCGGTCGTTGTCGATAGCCAAGGACATGACTGAGGCGTTGCTGAAGATACTCAACCGCAGTGGTCCGGAAGCCCCCGCGGATGCAATGGAGTAGCGCCGCACTTACCCTTCGCGTATCGGCGCGCATCGCGGCCGCAGTGGCCATGCGCCTTGTAGAGAGCGCCATGTGGGCATAAAGGTATCGGGCACCCACGTCGCGTTTCATCGCGGCTGCACGCGCGAGGAATTTATTTAAACCCAAAGGGCTTGGACACTTTGGGCCGCACATGAAGCAATGCAGCACGTCCAACGATCAGCCTACAGAAAAGGTTGAGAGCGTTAGATCGATGTGTTCGCTCCGTCCTGACGCATTGCATAGGCAGCCCTCACATTGCCGCGTCAGCAATGAGTCGGATTTCCAAGCGCCACAACGCAATGCTTCGTAGAACGACCAAGCTTCCGAGAGGCGAAGCAGCAGCTGAACATATGGAGGCTGCGACGGCCACAGTTTCGGATGTCCGCACGCGTTATATCTTAGAAAACTGGCCCCAGGCATGCCGTCGCCTGCAACGTGCACGGATAGGCCAGCTGCAGTCAAAAACCCGTTTGGCGCCAGAATGACTTGCAGTACTGCGCTTCCACGATAGAGCCTGGATACATGCCATTTCAAGATGGCAAGGTGCCCAGCTGCACCATCGTACTGTAGGGATCTCGCTTTGGGAGCGTGATTATCACAAGTTTGATAGTGATGCTTGACTTCTGTAGCCCTATTAAGAGCTGTCGAGAGATGGACACCGCGCGTGGGTTGAATGGCGCAACTTTAATATAACCCCGATACCGCTTGTAACCCAGCCTCTGCGTGCGGCGTCGGGCCCAGGCGGCACCCCAGCAGGACGCCTAACGAACGAATCAGCGGGAGTATCATCACCAGTATCATCATCATCGCCACCATCAGCACCGCCACCACCACCGCCATCGTTGTCGACGTCACCACAGTATCATCACAACAGTCAGCATTCCTCTCACACAACCATCATTTCAGCATCATCGCAACCATCTTCTCATTCACCTCCACCATCCCTTTCCCCGTATCGCCAGCCTGTACCCTTGCATCATTGCCTCCTCGGCCCATCCTTATTTTCGTGGGTTCCTCTCGGCCGCGCCCCGCTCGAAAAACTTCGACGTGGCCTTCCAAGGCCCTTGCATCCTTATCGCGCATCCTCATGCTACGGGTCGGCTGTACGCGTTCTCCCATTCCTCCTCCCTCAGCATGTTGCCTCTTCCTCCCTGTACCCCTCATCCCGCAGCTGCTGCTCCTCTTTATTCTCTCCCATAGCCCGTTTTGGCTCAATAGGAGCGCTGCTAGCGGCGCGCCGCCTGGCAGGGCACCGTCCAGGGTGCGCGCGCGCGGGCGCGCGTGGGGCGCGGCATGGGCGGCCCAGTCGCCGGGGTGGACGGGAATTGGCGGTGCCCGGCCTGTCAGAACGTCAATTTCGCCGTCCGCGATGCGTGCAACCGCTGCGGGGCGCCGAGGCCGCCCGAGGACCAGTGGCGCACCGGCCCTAAGGGCTCGCCGCCGGCCCTTGTGCACAAGGAGGTCAAGGGGGGCAAGGGTGGCAAGCCGGTCGTCGGCGTGAACGGCAACTGGCTGTGCGGGTCGTGCGGAAACGTCAATTTCGGCGTCCGCGACGCGTGCAACCGGTGCGGGGCGCCGAGGCCCGAGCGCGAGTCGGAGGCCGAGGCTGGGGCGGACTTCCTGGTCGCCGGGGTGGGCGGCGCCTGGGAGTGCGGCCGCTGCGGGACGGCCAACTACGCAGAGCGCCACGAGTGCAACCTGTGCGGCAGCCCGAAACCGGAGGAGCAGCACGCCAGGGGCACGAAGAGGCGGGCGGGCGGGGGCGGCCCGCCCGTCGCCGGGGTGGACGGCAACTGGTCCTGCACGAGCTGCGGCAACGTGAACTACGCGGTGAGGCAGGCGTGCAACCGGTGCCAGGCGCCCAGGGCGCAGAGCCAGCACGTGCCCGTGCGCGTGCCGCCCGTGCGCGTGCCTCCGAGGCGGGAGGGCTTCTCCGAAGGGCTTAGCCGACCCGTCCTCCTCCTCCTCCTCCTCCTCCTCCTCCTCCTCCTCCTCCTCCTCCTCCCCCTCCTCCTCCTCCTCCTCCTCCCCTCCTCCTCCTCCTCCTCCTCCTCCCCCTCCTCCTCCTCCTCCTCCTCCCCTCCTCCTCATCCTCCTCCTCCTCCTCCTGCTCCTCCTCCTCCTGCTCCTCCTCCTCCTCCTGCTCCTGCTCCTCGTCGTCCTCCTCCTCCTCCTCCTCCTCCTGCTGCTGCTGCACGCTCATAGGGACGACCAGGGTCTCTGTGTCTTCATGCATACAGTTACATGCACGTGGCGACGAGGGTCCCCGGAGCCCCCGAAACCAAAAGAGCAAGGGCCCAGCGCCAAAGCACCCCCCCAAGAGGGGAGACGCAAGGGAGGAAGAAAGAAGACAGGGAGAAAGGGAGGCCGCAAGGGGGGAGCAAAGGCACTGGACCACCGCGACACCCCAGGACAAGAGGCTCCCAAGGGCCAGGCCGCGGGCCAGGAGCCAGAAAAACGAGCCACGTCCAGCAAGCGACCAGCGCCGAAACCAAACGCAACGCGCCGACGGGACAGCTGCTATCAGGCGGCCCTCACAATTGAAGCTGACACTCGGCACTCCAGGCTACCAAGTTACTGTCAATTTCCAAGTGCCTGTGATGTGCTTGCAACTACTGTACCCTAGCATCTGGATCTTGGCTACGAATGGCAAAAACATGCTATGCAATACCTCCTGGTATGGAATCCGCTCTCCAGGGGTCCATGTGGCCTCCAATCCGCGAACTGCATAGATCCAGCTTTCCTCTGGAACCTCATTGCCAAAGGACTCGACGAAATAGCAGGAGTCCTTCAGCATTTTCTTCGGGAACTCCTCGATCGTCCTGGACAGCACCTCAAAGGAGACCGTCGCCTGGGGCACGTCCTCCTTCTCAGCTATCTGGGCGCACTCATACTGAAACATGGCCACGGCTCGGGCTAGCAGCAGCTCCTGGTGCTCGAACCATTTGTCGGCCTTGATCTTTCTCTCCCAAGTGTGCGCTGTCAAGGAGGCTCCCGCCTCCGCAGCTGCCGAAGGCAGATCCTCCGCCTCTGGAGCGGACGAACACGAGCTGGACCTTGAAGTAGGAGCCCTGCTCGGGAGAGGCGTGCCACGCCGCACACGGCCATGAAGAGGCAGTCCACGACGGAAGGGGCTCCTTCCTTCGCACGATGGTGTGAACTCCGCAGCGTCATGTCGTAGCAGCACTGACTTATGCGGGGTGAACCACATGCAAATTTCCATGGTCCCGTCGGTGTGCTTGTGTCCACGATCGACCACAGAAAATGAAGAAGCGAGTTGGCGTAGGAACTGCACTTGCTCAACACCCTGGGTCATGAACAACACGCATGGGAGCTGCCCGGTCTCGCGGATGAGAATCTTTACCTTCAACTTGCCAGAGTCCGCATTGGGGAGGTAGGAGAAAAGCACCTGAGCACCGGTCTCGACCATGCCGAGGACGAAATCCAGCCGGGCAGCGACGACCATCGCGGAAGAGGGCGGGGGTGGGGCGAGGCGGCAGCGCCTGGAAAGCCCGTGACACAGGGCAACCTGTGCCAGAAGGGCTTCCTCCTCCTCCTCCTCCTCCTCCTCCTCCTCCTCCTCCTCCTCCTCCTCCTCCTGCTCCTGCTCCTGCTCCTCGTCCTCCTCTTCCTCCTCATCCTCCTCCTTCTCCTCCTCCTCCTCGGGTCGCCTACGGCCCCGGGGGAAACCGTGCACCCCGAGGACGGAGATCGTGGGGCTCGTGGCGAGGAGAGGCCCGGGAGGAGCCCCTGTCGCCGGCGTCGACGGCAACTGGTCATGCGCCCACTGCCACAACGTCAATTTTGCTCACAGGGAGGTGTGCAACCGCTGCGGGGCGCACCGGCCGCAGAGCTTCCCCAAGGGGGGCGGCAAGGGCGTCGCCCCTGTCGCGGGTGTGGACGGCAATTGGCAGTGCCGCTACTGCAACAACGTGAACTATGCCGTGCGGGCGGAGTGCAACAGGTGCGGCGCGCCGAGGGAGGAGGACCAGGCGCCGCCGCCGCAGCACCGGCCGCTGATTCACGTCGGCGGAGGCTGTGGGAGGGGCGTCGCTCTGGGAGCCATGCCGCACCAGAACGGCGGCAGCAAGGGCAGCAAGGGCCCCCCTGTCGCTGGCATAGGCGGCAACTGGAAGTGCCAGTTCTGCGGGAACGTGAACTTCGCCGTGCGCGACGCCTGCAACCGGTGTGCGGCGTCGAAGGTCGATGCCGAGGCCCCAGTGATCGCCAAGGGCAAGGGCGGCAAGGGCCCGCCGGTGGCGGGCGAGAACGGCAATTGGGGGTGCCTCCAGTGCGGCAACGTGAACTACGCCTCGCGCGATGCCTGCAACCGCTGCGGGGCCCCAAGGCCGGAGGATGCGGAGGACGCCGGCCCCGAGGCCAAGCGGGCAAGGCGCTCAGAGGAGGAGGAGGAGGTGGCCTGGCTGGCCGCGAGCGAGACGTTCCAGCAGGCGGAGGTGGCGGCCTCCTACAGCTGAGCTGCACGGGGGCGGCGCGCTCTCGGAGGGCTTCCCGGGGGGCCTGCGGAGGCGCTGGGCAGGCGGCGCGCCGGGCTGGGCGTTGCCGGAGTCCGGCGACCTTCGACCGTGGGTGAGTGCGGGCGGGCGCCGGGGCTCGGCCAGGGCGGGGCTGCGGCTACCCCTCCTCCTCTATTCGAAATCCCTTTTACGAATCGCCCCCCCCTCCCCCCCCCAAAGAACCGGACCCCCCCCTTCAACGGCAGCCTAATTTTCTGGACGCCCCTGTCAACGGGGTGCCTTGATATGCCAGACCCCTCTCGTCTTCGGTTCAAGGAAAGCGCCGTAACAAACCGTACCTCCCCGCTTCCAGAAAAGGCGCCTTCAAAAGCCGGACCCGGGAGACGATTATCAAGGGATTTCGAGTACTTGTAAATTGTTTTCCCCTGCACCTCTGTTTCCGCCTTGCCCCGCAGCGGGGGATGCCCGCAGGGATGAGGCCCGCGCGCCCGGGCGCGCAGGCGGCCGCAGGGGTGGTAGCATTCCCAGAGATCCAACGCATTGACAAAATCAAGACGGACGTGTTTCGCAGTGTTCGGCCTCAGAGGCCCTCACCGGGCCCCAGGACCGTTGAAAAGCGAGTCATGATGAAGAACCGGTCCTGGGGAATGGGTCGAGCCTTCCGGGGACCCCGTATTAAACAAATCACGACATCGGATCTCTGGGTTTGCGTCGCAAAAGGGTAATCCTCTCTATCCTTTTCCTCCTCCTCCCTGCGCCTCTCCCCGCCTCGCAGCCCTCCTGGTCACCCTCGTAACCCGTCGCCCTCGCCCTCACGCTCATACTCGTCCTCCCCACCCCATCCATCACCCATTCCCCGTCCCTTCCTCCCCAGGCTCCCCCTCGCTAGGGAAAAATCACGACGTGAGTTTTTTCGTTATCTTCGGCCTCAGGGGGCCCTTGCAGGCCGACGGGACTGTCAAAAAACGTCTCAAGATGAAAGCCCCGTTGTCTTGGGGAAGGGGTCCAGAACTCTGTAGGTCGACGCTGTGAACACAAAAACACGACTTCGGCATTCTGGGTTTTTCATTCAAGGAGCACCACCGCGCGGCCTCTCGCTCACGCCCCTCACGCGGGCGGTGGCGCCTCCCTCTCCCCAATCCGCCCTCCACTCCCTCCCCACCATCCACACCCCACCCCTTTCCTCTAGGCCTCCCAAATGGGGTCGGAGCAGATGGGGGGCGATGCAACGGCTCGATGTGGAGCCCGTGTTTCCCCACGCCAACGTCACCGATGCATCGCCGACGTCGCCGATGCATCGCCGAGGAATCGCTGATGCATCGGCGCTGCACTGGCGATGCGGCGCGATCCTTCGACCCCACCTGCTCGGACCCCATCCAGGGAGCCCGAGGGTCGCTCCTGTTCTTCCCCCTCGTCGTCCTCGTCCTCTCTCGACCACTGCGCAGAAGGCACCCGCCCGAGGCAGTGGAGCCAGACCTCTAGTTCCCCCTTCCGAGCCCGAAGGTCGCTCGCGTTCGTCACTGTCCTCCTCTTCCCCCTCGTCTTCCTCGTCCTCCCTCGGCCACCGCGCAGCAGGCACCCGCCCGAGGCAGGGGAGCCAGCCAACCCCGGGTGGCCCTGCTCGGGGCCGCTGGCCCGAAGTCGGGCCTGTCCCTCCTACAGGAGGAGTGCTCAAAAATAGTTGAAACAATTGTTTGGAGACGGTTTTTCCCTACGGTAGGTTTGCGTCGTGTCGACCAGCGGCGACCCCAGCGCGGACGTTCAAGGTTGAACGCCGCCGGCGACCCAGAATCGATCGATGTTGAACGATCGGACGTTGCGGCAGCGGCCGATCGTTCAAGGTTGAACGATCCCTGCGGTGTCAAAAACCAACGCTGGGGTCGGCACGACACGAACCTGCCGTACCTAGGCTCTGCCTAGAAGGGTTCTTACTCGGAGGCTTGAAGGGGCCGGGCAGTGTAACCCGCCCCGGGCGGTTCCCCCAGGATCCGCCCCGCGGCTCCCCCACTGACGTTCCCTTAGCTTCGCGTTGCTGATCTCATCTTAGCTTAGCTTATTTCATCTTACCTTAGCTTAGCTTCATCTTACCTCAGTTCTATCTTAGCTTAGCTGGCCTTCATCTTAGCGTCGCTGAGCTTTAGCATAACATATCACAGTATAGCATAGCGTAGCATAGCATAGCGCAGCATAGCATATCATAGCATAGCCCAGTATAGCATAGCATAGGGCAGCATAACATAACATAGCATAACATAGCGCAGCACAGCGCAGCACAGCATAACACAGCGCAGCATAGCATATCATAGCATATCATAGCAAAGCGCACATTATCATATCATAGCATAGTGTAGGTTAGTATAGCACAGCGCAGCATGCTATATCATAGCTTAGCATAGCATAGCATATCACAGCATAGCATCGCATTGCGCAGCTTAGTATAGCATAGCATATCATAGCATAGCATAACGCAGCATAGCATGGCATAGCATAGCATAGCAACTAATAGTGCTTTCCTAGGGGCTCCAACTTCTAGGTAGGGTCGCACTGGGTAATGGTGTTGCTGAGTATGGTCTGACTATGGGGTGGTACGTTTTGATTAGTTTTCATGTTTCGTCCACTATCCCCCTGTAGGGGGGCATGCCCGACCTAAAGCTGGCCTGGCCACTCGGCGAAACCCAGAGCCTTTTTTTTACACAGCCAGGGCCAAGCCGAGCCATCACACCAACCCCCACCTGCGTGAGCGCCCCTCGGCGAAGAGCTCATCCTCCCTCCCCAGATCCCCGACGTCGTGATTTTGTCACGACGTCGACCCGAGGCGGGGGTGGGGAGGGGCGCCTGCCGCGTGCCCGCCCTCCCCAACGGCGGCCCCCTACACTCACTCTCCCCGCGGGGGGCCGCGCGTCGGCGGACCATCTGGCCCGTGTCGCCCCCTCGGCGCTTGGGGGCTTCCTGAGATCCGACGCTTCGAAGCAGTGCAACACCGTGAACTATCACAACCCGCTCCCTAGAGGGGGATGAGGAAGAGAAGGAGAAGGACGAGGAGGAGGAGGAGGAGGAGGAGGAGGAGGAGGAGGAGGAAGAGGAGGAGGAGGAGGAGGAGGAGGAGGAGGAGGAGGGGAGAAGAGGCTGACGAGAAACGGAGAGAAGAAGGAGGAGGAGGAGGACGGAGGAGGGGGCGGAGGGGAGGGAGGAGGGGAGGGAGGGAGGGGAGAGGAGGGGGAGGGGGTGGAGGAGGGGAGGAGGAGGGAGGAGGGAGGCAGGAGGAAAGAGGAGGAGGAGAGGGGGAGGGGGTGGAGGGTGAGGAGGGGAGGAGGAGGGGAGGAGGAGGAAGGAGGAGGAGGAGGAGGAGGAGGATGGTGGATGGATGTGGAGGACGAGGAGGAGAAGGAGGAGGAGGAGGAGGAGGAGGAGGGGGAGGATAGACCCTATCTTCCTGCTGCACTTTGGGAACATGATCGGTCTGTGATGCTCTCTGGCGCCTGGGAGCGGGCGCAAATGCTCCGTGTGAACAATTTGCAGCGCCTGGATTTCGGGGGTTTTCTCTCTCTCTCTCTCTCTCTCTCTTTCTCTCTCTCTCTCTCTCTCTCTCTCGCTCTTTCTCTCCCCCCCCCCCGCGGCCGCGCTGCGGCGGGACGCACCGCGCCCATGCGCCATTGCGTCCATCCTCGACGCCTGCGTCTCCACACGCTTGCTCGATTTCCTCCTCCTCGATTTCCTTCTCCTCGACTTCCTCCTCAACTTCCTCCCTGTCCTCCTCATCCTTGTCCTCCTCGCCCTTATCATCCTTCCCAACTCGTCCTTGTCCTCCTCGCCTTCCTCGACTTCCTCGTCCAGCCTCGACATCTGCGTCTCCGCACTCTTCCCCCCCCCCAGAGGCGGATGCTCTTCCTGTCGTGGGTGGGCAAGAGCTTGGGGATGAACCCCATCTGGACACTCCACGTGCTCCCCTTCTCTGACTGGCGCGCTCAGGACGCGCCCCTTCGATTCGGTCCCGCTCGTCTGCCGCTCCCTCCAGCGCCCCACGGTCTGCCTGCCCCGCTGCGCTGGCTGTGTCTGCCTCGCGGACGGAGGCCACGCTCTTCAAGCTCCCCCTAAGTAGAGGATTGAGCTATATCTCTCTCTCTCTCTCTCTCTCTTTACGGCCTTTGTGTCGAGCATGTCCCTGGTCATGCGGTTCATATAGTCAGTACCCCATACCCCCCCACCCAGACCTAGCAGCCTGAAGCAGGTTCCCGTTCCTGTGATTGGCATCACCCTGGCTCCGCGTCGATCTTCAAGGTTCTCTCGGCTTTCGTAGGGGCCACTCCTGGGATTGACCATCGTCTCGGGCTGGTCGGTCTCAGGGACACGGTCGGGCCAAGGTTCTCAGATCGAGGTCGGTTCGGGGAGGGCGCCCTGGTGTTATCCGTGCTTGCTGGATGTGCTTATGCATCCTGGGAAAGGGCACCCTCGAGAGTCTTTCCGTTGGGGCCTGCGGAAGATCGCACGTTCTTTCAGGAGGTGTGTATGTCCCAGGTCCGACTGCAGGGAGGAGTCCGAGGCTGGGGGGGGGGGGACGCTCTTCTCACCGAGCTCAAAAGAGGCCCTAACCCGGGTAACACTATGAGGACGTGGCCTCACCCTGAGGCCCCCGTGTTCGCATGAGGGATCAGAGTTCTGGGCGGTCTGGTCTGACACATCTTCAGGAAGGACTCCTTTGATCCTCGATGTGTCTGGCCTTACTATCTCACCGCCCCCCTCTCAAAAGGTTCGAGCTTTTGTGCGTGAATCCTCTTGCGCCACCGCCCGAACGGAGCCCCGACGGAGGGCAGGCGCCCGTGCTTGCGGTGCCTCGAAAGCAGGGGTCGGGAGCAAGACATCCCAGACATGTTTTGCGCGAGCTCACTTACGAGTCAGGGTCCAGGCCCAGCCCTGCTGATGGGTTCGCCCCCGCCCCTTCCCCCCTCCCTCCCCTCCTCCTCCTCCTCCTCCTCCTCCTCCTCCTCCTCCTCCTCCTCCTC